GAGAAAACACATGCCAACACAGGGAGAACATGCAAAGTCCACACAGAAATGCCAACTGACCCAACCGAGGCTTGAACCAGCGACCTACTTGCAGTGAGGCGACAGTGCTACTCACTGCGCAGCCCCACACTTATTTTGTTTAAAAAAAAAACATCTCTATATATATATATATATATATATATATATATATATATATATATATATATATATATATATATATATATATATATATATATATATATATATATATATATATATATATATATATATATATATATATATATATATATATATATATATATATATATATATATATATATATATATATATATATATATATATATATATATATATATATATATATATATATATATATATATATATATATATATATATATATATATATATATATATATATATGTGTGTGTGTGTGTGTGTGTGTGTGGCTAGTTTTTTTTTATATTCACAATATAGTCAAAACACTCAAAACATAAAACTCTTTGTAAAATAAGAAAAAGAAAAACAAGCATGATATATTTGCTTGATTGTTTCTGCTGCAAACCTAGAAATATGATACTGAATTCAGCATAGCTATTTTTTTTTCACAATTTGTTACTGCTAATTATTTTACAGAACAATTTTTTTTAATAATAATTATTTAATTTAAGTGTTGATCTGGAAAAATGAATCAAATGTTTTTTTTGTTTAGAATTAGTCTTAATACAAAAATCAATAAAAAATCCAATTAAGCAAAAGAAACAAATAATAACAATGAAATCAACAAATTACTTAAACTTCTTCATAATAATTTGGGGCCTAATGTAGCATAATGTTTGTAACACATTTGCACATTCATTTGTGTGATTGTATAGCTAACGTTAATTTACATGGTACAGAATTTTGTTTTAATATAAATCTTAATAAAATCTCATTAGTCCATTTGGTCTTTTTATAAAATTATACAGTTATTTTAAAAAATTACATTATCTGAAATATGTAAAGCTTACTTACAGTATATTGTAGGTGATTTTTGACTTGAGTTGATAGACTTCATTTGGGTTGTAATGACATCAACGCTACTTAAAATGGCACATTCACACTGAATCAAAACAATATTGGGTCTTTTCGATTCTAGGGACTGGGTGGGTCAGAGCCGGCATATGTTATAGTAGGTCTGCTATAATGCAGCATAGTCTCTTTTTACACTAAATTCTAAACAGACAGAGACCCGCTTTTTTGACTCACAAAGGTGAGCTGATGTCTGAAGTTTTGCATGGAAGACAAAACTTGCAAAAATTCAAATTAAGTACATGTTAATGTATTCATATACATTTAACAATAAAAAATGAAATAATATGACTTAAAAAAACATATATATATTTTTTTATTAATCCCTTTAAAAAAAATTATCCTCAATGAATCAATTTATTAAGATTATCATTTACGTATTATGTTCTTTCTGTCTTTATTCTTTTAATGCTTTTGTTTTTCATTTGGGGAACAAATTTGTCTTTCTATGTCTGAGAAATTGCCAGCTGGTGTCCCTCCTTAGTATTTAAGGCTATGAATTTGAAATCTAAACAAAAATAAATATGTAATATATATATTTGTATATACACAGATGTAACGGTTCACAAAAATCATGGTTCGGTTCAATATGCATGAGAACATTTTTTTGATTCCACTTTTTTTATTCATCAAAACATCATAAAACCCATCTTCTGGGATTTCTTCTTAACAACAAATAAAAGAAAACCTCATTTATGCCCAAAACCAAAAAGCTATTTATAAAAAATGAAATGTGCTATTGTATATGGAATTTATAACAAACCTTTAGGCTGCAAGAGCTTAGTTTTCAGAAGCTATATATTTATATAGCACATTATCAATATGCATACAATGAATCATCCATTGTACAACCAATACATATTAGTTGTTTATCCTGTCCCAAACAAAACTGCATGTAAATATATATATATATATATATATATATATATATATATATATATATATATATATATATTTTTTTTTTTTTTTTTTTTTTTTTTTTTTTTAATCTCTAGGGTGGAGATTTATTTGTTTTGGACGAACCAGAGGAGAACACTTTTAGCACATCTTCTGAAGACAGAAGATCCAACGCCAACTGATGATCCTCCTCAAAAAATTGGCACGGACAAAGGCATGGACAATATTCTCAAATCTACTGGCTCCGTCACAAAGGCTGAGGCTCTACTGCTGATAATGACTCATGCTGCTGTGCATAACATTACTGGCTGTCAACTAGATGACTTGTTCACCCTGATTAATTTCCTGTTTGGTAATGATGTTGTTCCAGGTTCAAAACATTTGTTTAACAAGGTTTTCAAGAACAACTCAGAGACTGTAGACTTTCACCTTTATTGTCAGGCCTGCAAATGCCACTTAGGCACACAATAACAAGTCACTGACCAGAACATAAATCAATGTCCATCCTGCAGCAAAACAGTTGACATCACTACTTTAAATAATGGTAGCTTTTTTATCAATGTGCCAGTTGCACCACAAATCCAGAATCTTCTGGAAAATCCAGAAATACAAAAGCACCTCGGCTTCGCTTTGACAGACCACACAGTGTTGAGAATGTTATCTCAGACATATTTGATGGAGCATTTTATGAAAAGCTGTCTGAACCAGGAGGGATTCTGTCAAATTCTAACAACTTTTCATACAATTTTAATTCAGATGGGTCTCCTGTTTTCAAATCTTCAAAATTTTCTATTTGGCCAATACACCTATACTTGAATGAACTGCCTCCCAAAATGAGATTAAAGCATGTGATTCTTGCCGGTCTTTGGTTTGGAACCCATGAGCCATCTATGCAAGTTTACCTGAAACCATTTACTGAACAAGCAAAGTCACTCAGCTCTAAAGGTGTTTCATGGAGAAAAAATGGTGTTCAGATAAATAGCAAAATTGTTGGCATCTGCTGCTGTGCAGATTCTAAAGCAAGACTGGCAATGCAGAACATGACCCAATTTAATGGCTATTATGGGTGTGGCTTCTGCCTTCATCCTGGTGTTTTAGTTGAGCGACACGTAAAGTACACTGTGTCAACTTCAGGATACGATGACAGAGACTCAAAATCTATAATTAGAGATATGAAGATTGCCTTTGC